ATCAGAAAACCAACACAGTAGGGAAAAAGGGCTTTTAGAAAATATAACTTTCCTATCAAATGTCAAATAAGGCCCAGGCTTTAGCAGAATTCCCCCCACCCAGTTCTCATATTCACACATGACATGAGAGACACTCTCATGTAGATTCTTAGAGTTCATCTCACAGTGCAGACTTGCCCTCTGTTGGGGCATATTCCATAGAGTCTCTTCACTTCCCACTCACATTTTTTTCATAAAACTTGCTGGAATTTGTTACCTTTGAAACTTCTAAGGCCATAGTATTCAATCAGTTCAGTTGGTCAAGTTCAACTATTAGGATGGTACTGTCAGGCATAAACATGCCCACACATACATTGTGTCAAAAGATGTCTTTTCCTGAGGAAAATATATCTGACTGCTTGTAATCCTCTTCCCTTTCATATTTAACCTCACAGAATATATTGTTCATGAACCCCAGTGGGGAGGCTGTCCTCTTTGCCTTTCTATAGACCCTCCTGGGAACCCTTTTTTCCTCATCTCTACAATTTTCTTTTATGAGTATGAAATGTCTTCTTAGTCAAAGCTGCAAATTAGTACTTTATCCTTATCCTGTTAGTTTTTTAACAGAGTCAATCATGCAGTTCTTGCAACCTCCTCTCCTGGCTTCCTCCATGTCTTTCCTGCTGGTGCTCTGGTCACTCCTGTAACAGGCCATCCTCATCTTCCTCCATATTTCTCCAGCATTTCCACAGCAGTTGTCTTTGACCTCCTTCCTTTCTCCTTTTATGTTTTCTTTCTGGGAAACCACACCTGCAGAAAGTCAACCCCCTCTGCTACATGACAACTGACAGACATGTTTCCCTGCTTTTAGCATACTTTATCTGTCCAGAACATGAACTGCCACCAAGTCTTGGATATCTAAAAAACAGCTTATGGTAAACTCAGCTAACAAAGTTCTTAACTGCACACAGTCTCCCTAACAGCATTCTTTGTCATTCTCTGTGAACCACTGTATGGTCCTGGTGGTCACTTTGCCAGAGGATACCATCTTAAACTCTGACCTCTCTACAGGTCTCTGTGGGCAGACCAAGCACAAGTCATTCTTTCTTTCTGGGATGATACTTCAAGAATATAACTTCAGGATGGAAGGAAAAAAAAAAAAAAGAAAAAAAAAAAAGATGCAACTCTTACCAAGCGTCTTCTCATTTCACATTTCATCTAGCCAGAGCAAACTAGATAGAAACAATATAATCCTACTCCTCCAAAATACTTTCACCACGTAATCCTTCTCTTTGTATAATCCCCACACTCAGTTGCATCCCATTGAAATGGATTACATTCACAGTTCAACACACCCACCCTTCTACCTTGATTTTCCCCATCAGACAAACAATAATAACCCAAGAGATACAAAGATTCTGTTAACAACACAAGCAAACCTTGACATCCGGATACACTTGTGGTAACATTGTAACCATTAGGGGAAAAGGTAAAATTTCAAAGAGCTAGTTTGTCAAATGCATAGCAAGAAGAGTTACCTTTTATATTATTGGCTGCAATCAAGGGGTAAAGGATCACACGTTTCTAGACTGCAAACAGTATCAGAATGTACTATAAAATTCATATTAACTGACAGCTTCTGTACTAGAAAGTTTACACCCCGAGTACTTAAGTACAAATAGGTAACAGACACAAACTGTCTCAGAAAATAAGCAATTGCATTAATTTCAAGTTACATAAATACTTCAAACTCTTGAAATTGAGTCCTGATTTTCCTAAGTTACGCCAAAGGTACGAGATAGCTTGGAAGACAAACTGGGGAGAGGTGGTGGTCAATCCGACAACCTAACCTCAAGACAATTCTTCATGTAATTAACAGAGTGCAAAATCAAACCAGTCTTTATCCATGAAATATCTCAGCCTTCCTACATGCTTGAACCTAGTCAGGTAGCTAGGAGAAGTATCAGCTTTGTTTGTAGGCACATATCCTGTATATTTATCACATATTCTTTCTGGATTCTGAGAAGCTCCTATGCATGAGTTCCTACACATGGTCATTTGCTCTCATATACATGTTCACCGTCATGTTAAAAAAAATAATAATGTTTTACTACAGCATTTTTCAGGACATAGAGTGTTTACAAGATCTGCAATACTGACAAGCACACCTTTTAGATTCCCAATTCTGATTTGGCTTTCATAGGGAAAAACAACAACAACAAAAGAATAATTAAATGCTCAGTATGCTACAGTCAATGAAGATAAACCTTTCAGCATTATAGCTGTCATACTTGTTCAAGTAAATAAAGCAATAATCTACATATTTGTCATAAGGAACACTCAAATTAGAAAGCATTTACAGGATCATGCTCGCAGGGCTTCTTTCCACTTCTAGGCCAGAAAACAGCGATTGCTCCATCTGATTCCAGTGTGCACGTACTACTGGTTGCACACACCTGTTCTCTCCCCCCCAGTCTCCATGCAAACAGACCCCTTAGAATTGTTGGCTTTAGCTTGTTAGTAAAAAACCTGTCATCTCAATATAATTATTTTCTCATGTATTTAACTAAACGGAGTCGGGCATAATTTCAAATCATCAATATAATTATTTTCTCATGTATTTAACTATTCGGGCATAATTTCAAATCAACAAGTAACTGAAAACTTAAAGGTCAATACTAGCATTCTCTACTTTCCTCAAAAAGTAACCAAAATCTACATCTGCCTTTTTTGTTCATACGAACCTCTGCATACAAGAGGGTCATGACAATCATACAAAATGTATCTAATAGAATCACAACAGCACCTTAGCTGTCATTCCTCAAAGTATTCCTGCCATGGTGGACCTGCAGCACATTCCTTGTACTCCACTGATCTTCCTAACAATGCTCATTAAACTCACTATCTTAAAATACTAATATTGAAAAAGAATCATTGTAATATTTAATAAAGATCTGCAAAACAGGCAATCAGTCCCTAAAGAAAATTCATATAATAAATGGTCTCTGAAAAGCATTAAGTGCATACATTCCTCCTCTTTCAAGGAAGCAATAGAAAAACCTTGTAGTGTTGATTTGAATGAAGTCACACATTACAAGCTTACTTTTCCCACCCAAACAATTCACGTTTTATCAGCTCTGCGATGTCTGATCTCTCCCCAAGTCAGACAGGAGATCAGAGGATTTGACCTGTGTTATCCTTATAAAATCACATATAAAATACTGCACAGAATATATGTCTATGAATCCCATTTAAGCTGTGTTTAATAAAGCTCAAATATTTATCTGAAAGCATAATAGACTATTAGGAAAACAAAGAACTTCAGATCTCTCCGTTGTTTCTTTTCACTTCTAGTGATAACAAAGGTATCAAATTCTGGAAGTCTACCAAACAGTTACATTTTATTATGAACACGTATGATTTAAGTACTGCCAATAAATTCTAAGTATTTAGTTATGGTTGACATTTATGATGTTACTTAAAGAATAATAAATGCCTTAACTTGAAATATGCGCATGCTTTTAGGGAGTGAGCCGAATATCAAAGGAAGCATTTAGTAACTTGCATAAGAACAAGTATCTTCTATCATCTAGAAAGGGTAATGAAAGATGTTATCACATTTTCTGAGTTTTTTGTACTGCAGACAAATATGACAGAAAAAGAGAGCATTTACTATCCAGAAGAGAACAGAGAAAATAAATTATTATACAATATTCCCTAGATATCTTAACTGCTAGTACAATATTTTAATGTTTCTTTCATTGTATGCATTAGATAATTTGAAACACATTAAATGAGCTATTTCTGAAGCCTGTTAAAGCATACTTGCATTTTAACCTTTTATGCAAAAACAGTTACCGCTGTATTATTCTATTGTGCAAATGCAGTGAAAGAACTGCTCGAAAAACTACTCCACTGCTTCAGATTCACCTCACATTTCCTCAGACCTGTTTCACAGTCGGTCACAAGAAGTACATTACGGAACATATGTCAAAGCAAATTTAGAAAATTTCATTTACTACCCATGAATTTCAGCCACAACATTAGTAGATGGGAGATTTTGCAGCAACAAGCACTTCCCAGAAACTGCCCACTCGCACGTTTATCGAACCCACCCCTCCTTATTCTCCCTCCTATAAGGGGCTGATAATAACGCCTGCAGCAGCCTCGGGCCAGTTCCCCCCGCGACACAACTCGGTGTTCCTGCAGTTCACGTGCAAGTTCCCAAATATAAACAAACTCCTCTCCCACACAGGGGTTCGCGCTACAAAAAACAAGATTCAATGAAAAGTTTTCCGGGAGCTAGAAACCAACAGAGTTCCATTCAAGAAAACTGAGGGTTTCGGGCATCCCTCCAGACTCTACTGAACAGCCCTCTCTTCAGTAAAAAGAAGTTTCTTAAATCCCATCAGCCCAAACCTAACGTTAATTTATGTAGAGAGAGGAGGAGAGGGAGAAACAAGAGACAGTAATCTGCAAGGCAGAAGGACAGCTGCCACTCAAACAACGCCAACACTTGATAAATAGCATCCTTCAAAAACTGATTTTTCTGTAGCTCTTGGCAATCATATTGTGGATAGAAAGCGGGAAGAGCCAGAAGTGCCGAGCAGTTAGACAGCTGTGGTTTCTTGCTCTCCTAAAGCCTGCCAGAAGCGGAGGAGGTGGTGGGCTTTGTGAAAGAGACAATCAAAACAACAAGGTAGCTCATAGCTGAAGATGTTTAGTTTGGGGTTTTGTTTCAATCGATAAGAAGCACTTTTTAATATTTAAGATGGTAGAAAAAGCGAGCGAGTCTTCTGTCCTATAGCAATATTAAGCTACTACATAGACATAAATGATTACATCGATTCTGCAGAACCGAACTGAGAAAGCCGCCCAGAGACTTAACATTTTCCTGCGTTCCTCTAGCCGGAGTTTGACAGTTAGCAAGACATCCAGCACAGACATACACAGCAGTTAGGAAAAGCGAGTGGCGCTCATCCCTCAGAAAGTTTCTCCCTCCAGTTTCCAAAAACACCTACCTGCTCTCTGGAAATGCAAGGCAACGAGGGTCTCCTAAACATTTTGCAGCTGCCGTAGTAGCTGGCCGGAGTTTCCCCTAAGGATACGCAGCTAGATCTCCTCCTGGGTCTGATCACAGGCACTTTTTCCTCCACGCTGGGGAGCCGGGGGTGGTGATGCTGCTGCTGGTGGTGCTCTCCCGGGCTCTCAGCCGAGAAGATGCCGCGCTCCCCGCCACAGAGTGCCAGGAGGCAGCCTGCCACCCCCACCGAGCCGGCCAGCAGCGGTCTGAGGGCTGGGGGCAGCGAGTGAAGGCTGCCGAGAGACACCAGCCACACCAGGCTGGTGAAGATCAAGACGAGGAGTCTCCGCCGCAACTCGACGGAGCTCTGCAGCAGGGTCAGCGCTGCCACCGAGCCCAGCACCGCCAGGAGCCTGCCTAGGACCACCTGCGGCGGGTCGGCGGGGTCCTGGGGCTCCTCTCGGTGCCCCTCGGCGGGCAGCAGCCACTGCAGCGCCACGAAGTCCCCCGAGTAGCAGCACACGGGAAGCGCCAGCAGCCACCAGCGGGTCGTGCCGCCGCCGCCGCGCTCCCGGTGCCTGCCGCCGGCCAGGTAGCAGGTGAGAAGGAAGAAGGCACAGGCGATGCTGAAGAGGGGGCTGAGGCAGCGGAGCAGGCACAGCGAGGCTTGCAGCAGCCGGGGGCTCCGCCAGCTGCTCCCGTCCTGCTGGCCCCCGGCGCTGCCCCGGCCGGGAAAGGCCAGGAGCGAGAGGACAACGGCGGCCAGGGCGCCCAGGCTGAGCAGCGCCCGGGAGGAGGAGGAGGAGGCGGCGGCGGTAGGGAACAGCAGCAGAGAGAGGAAGCTCTTCGGGGGGTCCTGCCTCAGGGGGGTCGCGCAGCTCTTCACGTAGCCGTTCCGCAGGCTCTCCGGGCTGCCGCCGCCGCCGCCGCCGGGGAGCACCAGGGGGGAAGCCGCCCTGCTGCCGTCCGGCTGCTGGCAGCGCTGCGGGGCTCTGCCGGGTCCGTGGTGGGAGGCGGCCGCGGCGGCGGCTTCTCCCTCTTCCCTCATGGTGGTCGGGGACGCGGGCGGGGGGAGGACGGGGGGAGAGGCGCGGGTCGCGCTAGCTCCGGCCCGGCCGTGCCTCCCTCATCTTCTCAGGACAGGGGCGCCGGGCTGAGCCGCCGCTCCTCCTCCTCCGCGGGCAGCGGCGTCTGCAGCATGGTGGGTAAAAGACAGGGGGGGAGGGAAAAAATAAAAAGAAAAAAAAAAAGAGAGAAAAGGTAAAAGTCTCGTCCGCTCGTTCGCTTTCCCCGAGCGGATCCGGCGGCGGGGACTCGCTGTCGCCTCCCAGCGCTCACCGGCAGCAGCGGGCGCCGCCGGCGGAGCCCCGGAGGGCGTGGGACTGAGGCGAGGAACAGCCCCCGCCCCGCCCGCCCGCCTCCCCTCACGCCGCTGCACACGGCGCGCGCGGAAGCCCCGCGAGGGTGGCACGCGCCCCGGCGGCGGTTGCGCGCGAACTGCCACGCGCTAACGGCCGCACGGTAGCGGGGCGGGGAGGGGAGGGGAGGGAGGCAGGCGCGCGCCCGCCGGCTCCTTCCCGCCGCCTCGCGCCCCCAACGGCCGCTCTGCCCTGAGGAGACCGGCGGGACCCCGGCCTTCCCGTACCCTCCAGAGCCGCTCCCGCGGCGCCCGGGCCCCAGGGATCCGCGCTTTCCATGTGTATTAAACAGAGCGTTTTAAATATATATGTATATATAGTTATATATGTCCCGCGCGACGCTCAGCCGTCGCCGAGAGCGTGTGAGAAGCGGCCCGGGCCCCTGCCAGCCCCGGCCACCGCGCTACATCCACGGGAGCGGGCATCTGGTGAAGCGATGGAGGGTCAGAAGGGCTGAGCTGCATTAACTTTCCTTTTCCCTGTGTCTTTCTGTTTTGACATACCGCGGAAGAGTTGCTAGGACGGGATTTAAAGAAAGAGTATCGGAGTATTTTGCCTCTAAGGACCGTCTCTCTCTCTTTTTTTTTTTAACACCTGAGAAGTAAGTATGGATTAGAGTAATTTTCTACACTTTTTTTTCAGTCTTTGTTAACAAAGTTACAGATTAGACTGCGTTGCTCGACCAGGTTTGATTATTTGCACAACTAACCCCTTTGGGATGGATCAAAATAATCGTTTTGAAGCAGACTATTGAAAGTGTTTAGATTGCTCTAAGTGAAAATAGGCAGCTAATGGGATTTTGAGTAATACCTTATTCATCCTGTTTGCTCCTGGAAGAGTTACTGGTTAGTACTTTTGAAATTATAACCGTGCCTCTTTACCTCGTTACTTGACATAAATGTCCTTTGAGCCACGTTTCCACAAAATATGGTCCAAAATTTGTTTCAAAATCAGGTAAATCGGTGACTGCACATTTTGCTTGCTTGTTGAAACAAGGAATTCTTGTAATGACTTGGTGCCATTGCACGCAATTAGCTACATTTGATTAGCATTTGAGTAGCAGTTGGTTTGGGGAAGCTGTGGTGCTGCAGGAAGTGCCACTGCAGGATAGGGGCCTCAAAGCTGACAATATGCAGAAATTGACCAGCATGATTACTGACAGAAAATGCAATAAAAAAGTGACAAAGTAAATTCTGTATCTAAGAAGATGAAAGTAACTAATTATTTGCTTTTCACAGGGCAGATCAAGTTAATGGAACTTTAGTACCTTCGTACACCTTCCTCTGTTAGAAATACTCCTACACGCTTCCCCGAAAAAGAAAAAGAAATTCTGCCTTGACTTGGTACACTTAGTCCCAATATGATAGTACAGAATCCTTGTCAAAAAGTTTTTGAAAGAGAAAATGTGAAGTCCCTTTGGGTATTATATTTGCTTTTATTCATATGTTATTGATATCAGTTGGACCACCATCAAGTGTATATATAAATGTTTACAAGACAGATTATCTTGCTGTTATATATATCCTTTATTTTTCAATTCCATTGAATTCAGCTACAAATAATAGAATTTCAGAAATAATTAGTGTAGTCTTCATTAAAATATCATATTTGAGTATATAAGTCTGTAGCAATGGACACTGGAAAGTGCCTAAGGAAGAGTACAGAGACAGAACGTCATATAATCCCTTAACACCCTGAATGCAACCATCTGTGGCTTTAGCACTTTCTGAATCAAAAGTAGTGTCTTATTTTTAACAGTTCATAGCAGATTTTTATTCAAAAAGTTTGCTCAGCCTTTTTTTTTAAGTCCACATAGGCTTTTGGCATCTGCAGTGTGGTACAGGAAGAGGTCCTTGCTCAATGCAACTTGACTATGCGTTGTGTGAAATTGTTCATTGGTTTTGTTGTGTGGTACAGGAAGAGGTCCTTGCTCAATGTAACTTGACTATGTGTTGTGTTCAAACCAATTGTTCACTGGTTTTGGTTTTTTTTAAGTTTCCTATCTGTTTTAGGTGCTTTTGTTCTCACTTTGATGGAAACAATAAGCAGTTGCTCTCTAGTGACCGTCTCTCTTCAACTCATGATTTTATACCTTTCCTCAGTCTTGTCTTTTCCAAGCTGAAGAGTTTCAGTCTATTTGATTTTTTCATGTTTAATATTAATCTCTCTTTTTATATTATTTGAGCACTTGTATATGCTTTTGGAGATGGGGAGACCAGGAGTCACACACAGTATTCAAGGTTCAAGAGCAGTCAAAATAATCGTTTTCATGTAATTATCCAGTTCTTTCCTTATAATTCCTGTCAGTTACTTGTTTTGTTTTGTTGAGGAAGCAGAAAACTGACAAACTGAGCATTGTTGAATGTTGTTCTGTTGAACTTTGAACAAACATTGAAAATTGTTTTCATAGCATTAACTATACAGATCCCAGGATATATTTTCTGAGTGTTAACATCTGCATCCACTAGATAGTTTTATAGGTAAGGATAGGATTTTTTTGTATATGTGTTTACCGTATGGTTATCCGCATTAGATTTCACCTGCCTATGCACTCAGGATTGTGAGGCTGGATGCACATTCCCTCAGCCAGCTCTGTTTTTACTACCCTCACTGAGTTAGTATCAACAGCATACTTCACCACCTTAGTGTTTATTTGTTTTCAGACCATTTATCATGAAATAATTAGCTTTTATTTCAGTGGTTTGTCTGTGCAAAAACACCCTGAGGAAATGTATACACAATTCATTCCAAAATTTAATGGGAATACAGTTCTTCTCCAGTAGCATTCCTATTGCCTAACAGTATTCTTGCTAGTATATACCTTTGTAAAAGGGTATGGCTATGAATAGGTCCCTGTTCTGAGGAGTTTACAGTCTAATGATGAACAATTTCAGTATAAGGAAACTTGGTTTGAGCAGGATAGCATCTGTCATAAATTAGAAGAGCATTAACTAAATTTCTTCTTGTGACAGAATAGTTTTAAGAATAAAGAAATATCTTTATATTTACTACTGGTAGGTCCTTGTTCCTTAAACAAATACAGAAAAAATATACGGTGTTTTATGCATATTGGAATGAAGAAATTAATTCCAGGGTAATGTAATTTTTTTTCATCTTCCAATTTCACTGACAAAAGAAAATAGGTAGTTTAGTGATTTTGGTTGATTCTTAACCTACCATATGATATAATACCTGCATCTGTTTAACATTGGCTATTGATGCTGTGATCTATATGTACAAATAAATGTCTTCAGTTGCTGTTTGGTAAGTTTCTAAATGAAAATTGGGCTATAATATTTCACAATAATAAATTACTGTTTTCATTACCTGTTCTCCATTCCAAAACAGAGTAACTAGAAAGAACAGAGAGTATAACCATAACTGTCTTCACTCGAGGCTGTAATCTTGGCATCTTCTTTGGCCTGTTTCTCTCCTTTGACCGACACATCCAGAACATGTCTAAATCTTACTACATCCACCTGAATATTTCTAAGTTCTAATCATTCCCTTCTGTTTGCACTGCTCACATTTTTTTTGTCAATGCTCTGGCTAATTGTGAGCCCTGTAATCTTGGTATGCACCAGGATTAGCTCTGTTCAAAATTGCTGTGGTTTTAACCTCTAAATACCTTTGTTGTCTTACCTTCTTTGGGTACATCAAATACAGACATTTGATTCTTCCTTCCTTATTTAGTTCTGTGATTCCCATCAGTTTCTCACCATGTGAACAACTTTTGTATCTGTTTAATAACTTTGGACACAGTTACCCAGCACTTTCACCCAGCACAACTTTGGACACAGTTACCCAGCACTTTCACTTAAGAAAACCATTTTGCACTTCCTCTTGTATCAGCACGAAAAGGTTAATAAAATTCTAGGAAGACCTCTTTAAAGTTTCTTTTCAAGACTTCCATACTGTATTAATCAAACTAATAACAATTAGATCTAATTATTACTGTATGTAATTGTGCCCTGACTGTAATCCTTAACAATATGGTACCTTGGAAACTTTCACAGGGTGATATTTCAGGAAATTATGACACATCAGTGCTTTCTAGATTGTCCTTTTTGTGTATTTCTTTGATAAAATTGTCTCAGGCAGGGTTGATAGACTGAACTTCATCTTCTCAAAATGCCTCTGTTGTATTTGAGATTCATTTTTAATAATGGACTTAGATGTAATCCAGTTCTTTAAAGAAAGTATACTTTGAAATTGGAAGCAAAAGAAATTTAAACTAGTTATGTGGTTTAAATAGCTTGGCTTTCTGAAGATAATCTGGGATCATTTGCTTAGAAATTCTTGTGTATAACTGAAGAATGGGTAAATTGATGCCTTGTTGAGGGAACAGTATTCTACCTGACTACTGGTATAGTGTAGAGTGTGTGTGTAAAACAAAAACAAAAAAGGTGTGAACAGAGGATGTATCTTGTGTTGGAGCACTGAGTCAATAAGTTATTGCACTTACTGCTTTTCTTTCATTCATATCCATGAGGAAATTGATGTATGAATGCCATGTTTTTCATTACTACTTCTTTGAATACTGCAGTCTGAGAAATTAGTTTGTAAATATATAAGGACAGTTAAGATGGTGCAGACAGTAACTGTCTATGCGTACCTCAACTTTGTTACCAGTTTTACATCAAATGCTTGAATAAACAAATAAATGGCATTACTACAGGTATAATTAGTTAGCAAAAAAACCCCAACAAATGAAACAAATTTGACACTTCCAGAAAACCCATACAAGTATAGTTCACTTAGGGCAATCAAATCTTAACCATTCTTGAATGAATGTTTGGAAAACCACCAGCATTATGTATTATCTTTCAAAGTTTGTGTTG